ATTATCACCTATCCATTTTCAGGAAACGAATCTACGAGATATATTTTACTACGAACTACAATCTACGATCTACTATTTACAATCTACGATCTACTATCTACAATCTACGATTTACAAGGTGTAGATTCGTTTCCTTAATAAACAAAATTTGCACTCACCGACCCGACGCGCAGCAGCGGAGTTGTTGTCTATATCTGTAACACAAATATAAAATTTATATTAGAAAACAGTGTTTAACAAAACCAATTTTGCAAAATATAATTTCAACGCGTATCTTACTTTTTAATCAGTTTAGATTCAAATGATTTAAATGATTATATTTAGTTAGAGTTACAGTTAGATTTAAATGATTATATCGTGAAAGAATTTCCGCAAAAGATCTTTACGCCGCGAGAATAAACTTTTATAAAAATTTTAATTTATTTTTAATTATTATTTCAAAATTATGGTGAAATAAAATGACTCAACAATAAACCGGAAAATATTAATTTTACAAAACAGGAAAAATAATATTTACCGTAAAGTTGCTCCGCTGGCGCCTGATGTCTCTCCGAGACCTCCTCCTCCACTCAGGTTGTCTTTCGGGACTCCTTCTGGGACTCTTTCAGCAGTCTGTAACATACAATTACAAAATTCATGTTAAAATAGTGATCTCTTTCCAATTATTATTTTTAATTGTGGTTAAATAAAATGATAGGAGAAAGATAAATTTTATACGAAATGAAAAGTATTTACCTCATATAGATGCTCCGACGACGCCCGATGCCTATCCGAGGCCTCCACTCAGACTGTCCTCTGGCATACTCGCGAAAGACCGTTCGCGCGATTCTACACTCCCGGTTACAAAGCTTTACTGCGATTATTTTATACGGCACTCCCGAACGCGATGGGTACCTTTGGTTGTCCCGTCTTTTAGGGTCTATACTCTCTAAAAATTAATCAGTGCATCATTACTGTAAATCAGTGAATATTCATTGTTTTCAGTAATAAACCACTGAGTGATTTTTAGAGAGGAACCCTTGAGGGTACTTAAGCCCCTCCACCACGACAAGGTAGTACCCGAGGAGGGGATTATCAAATAGAAAAATTAATATTGAATGAACATAAATTAGTTGCTATTTAATGCACGACGTGAGAAAGATTCATCCAATCGAAAAATTAATTCGCACTCTCGATCTTGGGACAAAATCAATTTTCTCGGAATTTATCAATAATGCCTCATAAACTAATAATCCGAGATAAGCCATTCTTATCTTGTTAGAAGCGCTGAAATCTTAGCTTTCCAACGAGACCAAGATCATCTTCCTACGATTTTTCTGTGCGGAGATATTGACGATTATATCGACTCGCGATCTCGATCTCGGGACAAAATTAATTTTATTTTTGTAATTAATTAACGAAATCTCGTAAACTAATGATCCGAGATAAGCGATTCTTATCTCGTTGGAAGCGTTGAAATCTTAGCTTTCCAACGAGACCAGGATCATCTTGCTACGATTTTTCTATGCAAAAATATTGACGATTATATCGACTCGCGATCTCTTAATCCCAAGACAGCAGCAGCAGACGCCGCGTATACGCGGCGTATACACGGCGTCTCGCGCGGTGTCTGGCGCGGCGGTGTTTACTACCGACCAGCTGTGCCTCGTATGTTTTTATGCCAGTTTTTTGGGGACGTAGTACGCTCGCGTAAAATTCGCGCGGCCTTGACTTATGAATGGTGCGCGCGCGCCCGATTTTTAAAACGTTATAACTCGGCGAAAAATCGACGTAGCGACACGAACCAAAAACCAATCTTCTTCGTTTCGCATCCCGCAGATGTCTACGCTAAATATGTATGTTCTTATCATGAAACTGACGATAATAGGATAAAAAGTAAAATACTGAAATATAAATTATACAAATAATTGCTAAAAATTTTGCTAACAATAGTTATGTTAGACTGTATAGCAAGTATATTAAAATTTGATTTTTTATCATTAATCGTCATATTTTATTGACATGCTTTATTTCTACTAGCATTTTGGTATAATTAAATGTATCAAACTTGTATTCTTTTTGCCAATAAAATTTGTAACACACTGTTCTGGATATATAAAGCAGATGTAAAAGGTTGATGTAAATATCATGTAGATAATTCATGTTACTGTAATTTTGAATTTTACAGCACAATCTTGAAAAATAGGCGTAGCATGGACACGCACAAAGTGGTAACTTTATTGGCAGTGTCAGAAGATGCATAGTAAAATAGGTTTAAAAGTAGAAATGGGCGTAAAGGCACGCAAAACAGTCTCTTGAAACAGTATCAAGTAAAACGCCGGAGTGGCCACTCTCAAGTTTCTCTCTGTTATTAGAATATATTTTACGCATAAAAACAAACAAATCCTGAAAAATTTACAAAAATTGAAGGTGAGGGCGTTATACTGCATATTTATCGGGAAATGTTTTAAACTCGTCACAGGAAGTGTGTATGTATGTGCATACATACAAAATTTGTTGGATTTTCATATTTTTGCTATTTTCCTTAATGACGCTTCAATTTGTACAGATTGTAAGATCTAGTAACTTAACTTAGTTATTTGTTGCGATGAAGACGATTGAATGGCATCCCTGTTAACGCCGCTTCAGCACAGTATAACCAGTAGTGGCACTCGCTCTTTTGTTTCACGTTCGCGCCGATCCGTACTGCGCATCCGACATGTTTTTATTCTGACCAATCACAGGATTTTTGTACGTGTGTTAGTGCAAAGTCGGTGTGACATTGAAAAATTCGCAGTGTTGACGAATAATGGGTAAATACTTTTATACGTTGGAGCAAGTAATTACATTAATTACTTTTATTAGAACATTTTCTTTCATAGGCCATTTCCATTTACAATAAATAATGTATGCCAGTTCGTATGTGCCTTTCCTGGATACGATCCTGAAAAGGGCCCAGGCACTTTTAACCGTTGATACACTGTTGGCGCGAATAAAAACATGGCGGAAAATTGAGAACGCCCAGATCAAAGGTGCCGACAGAGAGTGCAACTACTGGTTATACTGTGGCTTCAGTGCGCACTGCGCATACTCCGGCCTGTGGCTGACTTCGGCATCTTTCAGTATCTCGCTTGGTGGAGTCCACGCGAGTCCACGTGGTTTACTCGACGTGATTGATCGTCGCCAGAGTATTGCGATTGTTTTAGTGAAATTGTATTATCAGCAAGCATGAAGATTCGCAGTAAGTGTATCAATGAAAATTCGACATCTTGCGTACCCCACCCAAGATTAGAACAAGTTATGACATGTATTAGGTTATGTACAGTACAGTTGTACAGTTTAATCAATACTGCCCATGTGTTCTTATAATGGCAATTAATAAAACATTATAATATGCATTTGCTGTCATCCTTGCTTATTAAGTTAATATAGTTTGCCTTAGAGTAACTTTCTTTTCGTCTGCGTATAGAAAAGGAGAGCAATCGCGTGCCGGCGCGGATGAGATACAAGATCGAGAAGAAGGTTCGCAACCACAATCGAAAAATGAAAAGGGAGGCCAAGAAGCATTCTAAGAGTCAGTCCCCCTAATTCGTCAAATATATACATTTATTTACAGATTTGCATTTGCAACTTTCAATTTGATGAGTGTAGGTCCATTTCAATTTTATTATTTTTATTTAGAAAAGTCTAAAATGGTGGAAATACCAAATCAGTGTCCGTTCAAAGAGGATATATTAAAGGAGGTAGAGGCAATGAGGAAGCAACACGAGGAGGAGAAACGGAAGCAGAAGGAAGTGGCACGTGAGAAGAAGCGCGAGCAACTCGCCAAGGGTGGCCTCCAAGGATTGGTTAATCAGGCTCAGAATAAACAGTCAACATATAAACCTATGGAAGTGGGCTCTGATCCGATAAAGAATGCCGTTTCTAAGGAAGAAAATTCGCTCAAGGCGTATTACAAGGAGTTCAAAAAGGTTCTGGATGCGGCCGATGTGATTCTCGAGGTTGTGGACGCCCGCGATCCACTCGGGACACGATGCAAAGAGGTAAGTTTTCACAAGACACTTGTTTAAAGTATAAATATACTACATGTATTAACTTCGTGATAAATTTGACTACATAGGTAGAAGAAGCAGTCCAAGCTGCAAAGGAAAACAAGAGACTAGTGTTGGTTTTGAATAAAGCTGATTTGATTCCCAGAGAGAACTTGGATCAATGGCTAAAGTATTTGAGGGTCAGTTTGCCTGCTGTGGCATTTAAGTCGTCCACACAAAACCAAGCTAATCGATTAGGCAGAAGGAAGTTGGGAAAGAAAACGGAATCCATGATACAGAGCAACACCTGCTTCGGGGCCGAATTGCTCTTGTCGTTACTTGGAAATTATTGCAGGAACAGTGATAATGTGAAAACGAGTATCAGAGTGGGTGTTGTTGGTTTGCCAAACGTAGGGAAATCTAGCGTTATCAATTCATTGAAACGCAGCAGAGCGTGTAGTGTGGGAAATATACCAGGTATTATTTGTACTATTGGCTCTTGTATCTGCTATGCTTGTTAAACCATATCGTTAGTTTTAATGATTACATTTTCGAATCTTTTAATCTTTTCTCCTAAAATTTTGTAGTTTTATAGTTTTAACCAATGAGACATTTGTATTGTAATTAAGTCACATTTTTACATACAAGTAATATGACTTGATTACAATATAAATGTTTCTTTGTGTATGTACATACTTATTAATTTGTATGATTTCTTCTTAATTTCAGGAATAACGAAAACGATGCAAGTTGTTAACTTGGACTCTAAAATAAAATTATTAGATTCTCCCGGTATAGTATTCGCTAAATCGGATGAAAATTCCGATGATATAGCTGCTCTAAAAAATGCAGTAAAAATTCAAGCATTAAAAGATCCTTTTGCGCCAGCGTCTGCAATTTTAAAAAGAATCTCGCGACAACAAATAACGGAATTATATAATATGCAAGATTTCTCGACGCCAGAGGAATTTTTTGCAATGAAAGCAACACGAATGGGGAAATATAAAAGAGGCGGAGTGCCTGATGCGACTGCTGCTGCACGTAGCATTGTTGAGGATTGGAACTCGGGAAAAATTAGGTTTGTTTTGTTATACTTTCAGCTTTTTACAATGGTGAATTCTACTTTTTAACACTTGAAAATATTTTTCTTAGGTATTACACAGTACCGCCAGAACAATCGGTATGTCACATATCCGCCGAGATAGTCAGTCAAATGGCTAAAGAATTCGACATTGAAAGTTTCGCTGCAGAAGAAAGAATGATGTTGGATAATTTTGCAGCGGATTCTGCGAATAATCCCACCATAGATCCTGTGCTGATCAATAGCACAGGGCCTGTCACGGCGGCAATGGAGATCGAAATGCAAAAGGAAACGGTGAGATACAAATATATTGGAAATTTATCGGAAACTGTACGAGTAGTAGACATTATTTCGTGCAATATTTCATTGTTATTGCAGGAATTCAAAGTACAGAAGAAACTAAAAAAGAAGTTGCAAGACACAAAGAAGAACGTGCCTGCTGAGAGAAAGAAGAAATCAGATCCACTTTTTGAGATTGAAGGCAATCAAAAACTGAATAAGCTCAAGAAGCTTCAATTCAGGAAGGAAAAGAAAGATCGAGTGAGAAAAGGTATGATAAAAAATGAGAAAGAAGATTAAACATTTCATATAATATCAAATTGTTTCAAAATATTATTTCTAATTTTCAGAAAAAGCTGCTGCAAAGCTGGCGGGACAGCTTGAAGGATTTAAACTTACTTCAGATGAATATGATTTCAATACAGATTTTACAAATGTATAGTTTGTTTTCATGTGCGCTATTTAGCAAATAAATATGCGAAAAAATTCAAGTTTAAATTTAACCGAGACACCACTGACTTTTAATCAAACCTCTTGTTAGAAGCAATCACCGAGAGTATCCTGCCCGTATATTCCCTTTAGGGTTTAGCTCTCCAGAGTGGCAGTTGGGCAGAAGGTTGACAACCTATTGCCAGAAAACTAAATTCTACTTCGAGACCAACAAAGCCTCGGATTGGAGACAAAAACTGGAGAAGGCCCAAGTTGACTATACCACCATTAGATAAATAGAAAATTGTTTTCAATGTTTCTCCCTTGTACATAAGATTTATATATAGATTTATAAATATATTAAATTTATACATGGATTGCTGTACATAGCAAAATCGCTGATGTAGATATGTATTATTAAATCAAATGTCTCCAGCAAGTACACTATTCGTAAAGTGTATCTTTTCATGAACTAGATACTATCCAAAGACTATTACATCTTAAAGATGTTTAAAAACACTTAAAATTTTTATAAAACATTTTATAAAATTATGAAATAAACGTCAATATTGCGTTTTTAAGGCGGCTTATAATAATTTTAATTTAAATAACTACTTTTAGACATACTATAAAATGGACACGAATAAGAGGTAAAACACTAACAAATTCGCCATATATTAATACGATTCCTTTCACACACACACACACACATACACACACACACTCTCTCTCTCTAAGAATAACCACCACACTGTTTCCTCCTACCCAATTTACAAGAACATTCCCGAAGTCAGATTATCGCCAGGAAGTTTACGAAATGCTTTGACGTGGTGCCCTTCGTATCTGTTCAGACGAAATATAATTGAACAAGAATTTCAATATAAAGTTGTTCAAAGAATAGAAGTGACCATTGTTTGTATATTATTCTTATAAAATATTAAGTGACGTAAACGTCTAAATGAATCGACAAAAAACGTGCATAAATTTACATAACTAACATTCATTTGATTGGTCTCATAAATATATACTTCTTCGCACTGTCATTCTTGCCGAATTGTTGTTATTATTTTTGGCCTTTGTTCTATTTTAATTGTAGTCGTAAATTATTGTGGAGAAATAATAAAATTAAATTATCTTATCAACATATAACGTTCTATTACTTAATGTATTCCTCAAAAACGTTTTTATCTTTAATTTTCTATGTATTTAAAAACTAATTAATATCTAATTTGTTGATTATTAGATATTTATATAGAATTCTATTATGAGATAATAGAATGAGAACAAAGTTCTGTTAAATTACTGTTGTGTAATTGTTAATCGTCGTAGCCGAAACAAATAAATGTGAAATAACTGTAAAAGATGGAATAAAGAACGAAGAAATGCATTAAAGATAAAAAAAAGTATTATAGATTACATAAAAAAGTGACCGCAAAAGTATTATAACTTATATAAGCGACTACTTAATTAGTAATGTAAATTTAAAAGTAAAGAAAATTTTTTCAAGCAATGTACTCTTTTCCGAGTCTGAATATTAATAAGATATAAAATATGTGCGTACTTTTTAAGATATACAATTTTCAACGTGTTCATTTGAATACTTTAAAAGTAGAATAACTTCAAGAATTCGGTAAAATAAACGAAATTACCTGAACATTTATTAGAAAAAGTATGAAATATTGTCAATACATTATCAAAATAATTTTACTCGTAAAAAGATTGCGTTCATTAAAAATTAATTCCATTCTTTTAATCTTTCTCAGGACAGGAAATTTAAAAAATAGCTTGCTGCAATTATCGAAATTATCGCGTATATTTAGTAACGACTAGGCATTAAATTCACAATTTTATTATAAAATTAGCAGCAGCATACGTATATATGTACCAAACATGTTACATAAATCCTCGATAGTGTTAATCTGCAAAAGAGGAGTGGAGAAGAGTACGTGTGTAATGTGATAACGAGTAGATAAATGTTCTAGCACATTCAAGTATTTGTCATGTGATTAATAATGAATTAACTATTCCATGAGAAACGTAAGTAGACCATTAATTGTTATAATATGACTGTATATTAATTATAAAAGTAAATTTTTTACATTTTTAAATATGCTTAAATTTCTCGCGCAGTACATCTCTAACAACTTACTATCCCTCCCAGTGAGAAATGATTCGTCGCCCGACGTCGAAATGATGTCGAAACTACGTCGAATCGACATCGACACCGGCAAATTGACATCAATTCGACCTCATTTCGACGTCGGACGACGAATCATTTCTCACTGGGCTCTAATTACGAGAATAATAGTATTTATATTTGGAGGTTTAATTAAATTTGCTATATATACACACAGACTGTATGTAAGTATTATTTAAATAACTGGCTTTAAAAATAATAAAGTCGTATTTGCTTCTTATTTGCACTTTCACATTTAAATAATTACTTTATCTCATATCTCATTCTATTTCAAGCAGCAATAATTTCATAAAATATAGTTATCGCACGAGAAAATTATCTGCTGAAAACACGTGTACACAATGTATTAGATAAGACAGATGTAGAGAAAAAATTGCACATATACAAACGAGATAGACGAGCAAGATGATAACATGTTTTGATGATGATAGCAGTACATGTTACATCCGTTCGTAGCGCAGTCAGCATGATGATATGGTTAAACTAACACTTGATCGACGGTGACCGTTTGGTGAGCAACGAGTATAGGTCAGCGCATTACAAATGCTGAAGATTCTACGTTTCCGCGACGTCTGCACAACGCGTCATTTAACGCGATTCTACACGCAGAAAGTAAGCATCGGTGCCATCGGATCGGACTTACAGAAGCAGATAGACAATATGCCGCGCGTCAGACCGTCGAGCCAACCACCTAAAGTTTGGCAACAAGTCGAGAAAACGGACAAGAATGGAAAAGTGATGAAATTTACGATTCAGGAAATTCCGGAGGACCGATACGAAGATGCAGTACAACATATGTGCACATATTTCTTAGCCGATGAGCCGACCTGCAGCTGTTTGAGTAAGTTTCACCGACTATTCAAAATAGCGTTCTTTTAATAACGATCGCATTTACCGTTCGCGAGTTTTATGATAAAGAAAGCAGTGATTTAAAATAACGAAAACAGGTTTTGGAAAGACTACTTTTCTTTTTAGAGTAATTTCTAACGTGCGCGAAGAAGAACGAATATTCTTTACACTTATGCGCTGTAACTGTTCTTTTGTCACTTTTTCGATTTATCTCATTTACAGATGCAATAAACGACCCTGTATTTATAAAAGACATAAGTACGATATGGCGCATGTTACTCGCAGAAGGCATATCCATTGCCGCATTCATCGATAATCCCAACGGTGGGAAACCCATACTCGCTGGTATGAACGCTCTAGGTGTTGATGATAAAAATGTGAAAGCTAGCATTTCAAATTTTGAGGTTTGTTCCATTAAGTTTTAATTTGATTACTCTATTCGAGTTAATTCTATCGTGCAAATTTTATTACGCGCTTATTACTAGACATAATTAGAAAATAATAAATATAATAATAAATATAATAAATATAAATAATCAATATATTTATAATACAATATTATATTATAATTGTGAGTTTTAAATCATGGCAATACTGCCGTGAAGGTTAGAAACATCAGTGTATAAATATTAATATCAGAACAATAATCGTCAAGTGTTTTTGAGAATGTAATGGACGTCCTTCGCCTTCTCACGGGTCAAGAAGCCATTTTGTTTTCCGTGTATGCGTTATCGAATACTACTATCGCAACGTACGTTTTATGTAACTATGTTGAAATTGATAATCATTACAGTTTAAGTCAGAGAAATGCCAAAATACGTTCGACATCATAGCGAAGGCAACAAAAGTGGTGTACGAACGTTACGGAGTTGACAAATATCTCTATGCTATTGGGCTTAGCGTAGATCCCGATTACCGAGGGTATGGATTAGGCAAGGATATTCTAAAACTCAGGTACGACTTGTGTTGAAATATTAACAAAGCTCACACTTAAACACATTCGATAAGTTATCAATTTTTTTTGTTACTCAACAGTTCAAAGTTTTTCAAGATTACATTACATCAATCTCTTCAAATTAAAGTAGCTCTATATTTTTAAAGAGGCTAGTATCTGGATCATGCTGATTATCTATCCTTGATCTTTCTTAACTTCCTTGTAATTATACAGTTAGGGCTGGTTTTTCCAACCTCTTGGTAAACTAACTAAACTTGGTAAACTAATAGTTAATGATATGTCCATCTTTGTCCGATTTACAGGAAAAACAAAGACATACATATGATTTAACTATTAATTATCTTATCAAGAGGTTGGAACAACCGTCCCTTACACCCGTTTCCCGTTCCTACCAACGCAGTTTAACTTTAATCTCAGTTCAACTTACTTCGTAGTTTTTCTTTTTTTAGTTTTACGAATTGGAAAAAGATTAGAAGAAATTTAAGGCGAGATTAAAGTTAATCTGCATTGGTAGAAACGGGCATTAATGATGACACAATGATGCAAAGATATAATTAATATTTTTAAAAATAAAAATTAACAAGTTCCACATAGCTTAAATTTTTGTTTATCTTACTATGCAAACAAATTACTATACGCACTGACTTCACCAGCTACTTATAGTTTTTTTTATACCTGATATTTATTAATTTAATATTTGTCACGTAACCTAAATTCCGATCTAGAAATCTTATCGGACCTTTTTACGGAGTGCCTGCGACCGCCACTGCGTTCACATCGATAATATCACAAAAGTCCGCGGCAGGCGCGGGATTTGAAGAATTTCTAACGCAAAACTTTTCCGAATTGCTGGATAAGAACGGAAAGGAGTATTTCCCCGGTATTAATTCTAAGGCGTTTAAAATCATGGGGAAAAGGTTACCTTAATACGGCCCGACTGGCAGTATGATACCCAAAAATTGCGAGACTTTCTTAACTTTGTAATCAGGAGTAAGTGATCGCATTTTATAATAGTTGGAAATAAAATTGTTATAACTCTATTTTCCGAAGCGTCATTCATTTGCTGACCCGTTATCCATTTTTTTAATATAGTGAATTATTATATATCGATTTTTTAATGGATTGTCACGCAAAACTGTATATATGCAGCAATGTATACATGCAGAAATAAATAATTTTGTTGTCTCGTAAGCAAAATCAACCAGGAGTAGTTTTAGAAATTTTACTATATCCGTATCTTTAGTCATTTAGTGTGTTGCCTCTCTTGGAAGCTGATATTCTTTTCGATATTCAGTAAATAAAATCGTATGGTATTATTTGTCTGATGACAAATGACAAACAATCTAACTTTATCTGATAATCTCGTAATAGTCACTAAGACTTATTCAAACAATCTTATCATTTCAGGTTAGTCCGCTTATCGGGTGTCATTACGAGTGCCATTACATCCTGATTAAATTAAAGTTTGCATTTTCCTAGTTATAAATAAAATGATGTCATAAAATGACATGCACAATAAATGACGCAAGATCAGAAAAATAAAACTTCTCGCACAATAGATACCGATGTTATAATGGAATTGATAATTTCAAATAAAGTATGAAAATAGTCATTAGGTTTCACCACCTTATTCGAGTGTCACCGCATGAATGATAGTACGACATACACAGCGATGCGCCGTTCACAATAAAGTCGAGTCATGCGCCAATCGTTCCGATGCAATTTGCTTTACTCTATGTATAAAAAACACGTAGGAGAAAAGTAAAAACACTTTTATTATGCA